CTATTATGAAGAAAAAATTACCAATTTTGTTTTAATTTGACATTTTTACAGACTAGTAACACTTTTTTCATAATAAGCTGTAGATCCTAGCTAACCAGGAGTTGCAGTGGTGGGAAATAGAGGTGGGATTAGTCAGCAACCTTCACTTTGGTTTCCATTGTCAGCTAAGCTGTAGATCCTGACTACACAACGGGATTATTCCCACCTCTCGTTCCCACCGCTGCAACTCCTGTGTAGCCAGGATCTACAGCTTGACCGCCAATAAAAACCCAACCAGTGAAGGTCTGGCTACTAAATCCTGGCTATCCAGTAGTTATTGATAAACATTCAGTAATAGACTATCAGACTTCAAAATGTACATAATAATAAAACAGCTCGTGTCCGTGCAAAAAATGTAAATAAACACACCAGCGACCTTGGCCAGTACATATTGTTGGTGTTTTTTGTTCAAGTGTGCGAGCCACTAGTGGCAGCGATTTTAGGAGCAGGTAACATTTTTTTAGTAAAGCTACTGCTCTATTTGAATAGAGTTTTTTTATGCAGGACAAGGCAGGTATTTGACCAGTCCTTTTTTTAAATGCATGAAAGTTGCATACCTATGACCGATGGGATGGCTAGTACGTTATGTATAGCTCTTCCTGCCAGAATTCTCAGACCAGTGTGTACATTTGATCCTTGATTCCCTTTGGACGACTTCTTAGCCGGATTACGTAGCCAGCTAGGAAAGGCTACGAATTGGTACAAAGGGATTTGATCCTATTCTCCAGCTAAAATTATACTTGTAAGGAGCTTATTCCAACGGTCGCGACCAGTCGGTCGGTAATCCGACATTGACACTGTTAGCTATTCATCATCATCATCATTTCAGCCACAGGACGTCCACTGCTGAACATAGGCCTCCCCCAATGATTTCCACATCGCCCGGTTGGTAGCGGCCGCATCCAGCACCTTCCTGCTACTTTTATGAGGTCGTCAGTCCACCTACTATTGTCGTCTTTCATTTTACTTAAACCACACGTAAAATAATTCTCATTATAACCTAATTCCACAAAAACCATCGCTTGAAACACCACCTATTGTAATGCCAAGAAATTGCAAGATTTACTAAAAAACCTGTTTGAAAGAGATCCTATAAAATTGCACTTTTTTGCTCAAACATCGGAAAAAATGGAGATTGTGTAGCTTTTTGTAACGTGATTGTTCATTGGTATATTAGTTTTCTGGAAAGTTCTTTAGTTTGTATGTGATTGGTTTGTCCTTTAATTTGGTATACATTTTTGTTAATTTCCTTGATTTTTTCGACCACCATTGTCACTCGCCCGTATTCACAAACATTACTATGAGGTCTCATAGTGCGCGTGGACGCACAGGCTGACACACGAATAAATCACAGAGTTCTATTCAACGCTGTGCGTTCGATTTACTGCTTCACTTAAGCGTGACGATGTGAATGACGTCCACTGCTGGACAAAGGCCTCCGGATGAAGCTCGCTTCCACCTTCGGCCTGATCATCACTTAGGTACCATCAGGTGAGATAAAAGCCAAGAGCTTCCTTGTTGTGGATAAAAAAAAACGATTTCCACAACGATCGGTCCTGGGCCTGAATCCAGGTGCTTCCCTTGACCTTCACCAGACTGTCAATTCAGAATGGGAGACAAAACATTCTGTAAAATCAATAGCTGTGTAACTTGTTCAGTACAAACATTAGAGAGATTCGTCAATAAGAGAAAATACATAGAAATGGTACTTTAAACTCAATTATCAATTGTAATTATCGTTCAATGGGGCATATCGTGATTGTTTACAAACACATGCTTATTGCGTTGGGTGATCGCGTTAAAACTATTATCTTGGCATGGTACGCGTCTAGGCGCTAGGTGCACTTGTCTGGTAAACATAGACGTGATGTATGTGTTTATATTTTGTGGTAATCAGGTGTTGCTTGGTTCATGTTCATGATAGGTCTTCGTTCTCATGCTGGTAAGACAATAAAATTATGTAAAAGATCCTCATGAGCAAGATTTTGAGCATTTGATGATTTGTAAATGATTCCTCTTAACTAAATTAAAGCCAGTTCTATGTTTGAGGATTCCGGGAGAAGGTCGCTTCCTTCGGCCTGGTTATCACTTTCCATCAGCTGAGATGACCTAATGTCAGTAATTTCTGTATAGAAGGAAGCCTTTGAGACGACACCACAAAACTTTTTTCAGTCAGAAAATTATACTAATATCACTATTCTCTTCATACGTAAAGTATTCTCATTAAGTGTGACAGAAACAGATGATCTTTTAGACAGTTCAAAACGCAAGCTGTCTACGACATTACCATAAATTAAATATCACGTGTACCACCACGCGACGTGTACAAACAAAAGTCGTGACAAATGTGACTGAGTTTCGTCTGCCACTTCTCGGCTATGTCAGGGGTGGCCAACTTGATTATACATAAAATCTACTGTTTACTAATGAAACCCTGTGCGATCTACCACTTACATACTTCTTAAAATCTTAAATGAAACAGCATAGTTTAGTACACAATCATGCCTTGCCACGATCGACTGGACTTATAGTCGCCATCGACCGGTTGGCGATCCCTGCTTTATGACTCGGAGTGGTAATAGGGCAAACGAGACTATTCCCACCTCCCATTCCCACTGCAACTCCTGTGTAGCCAGGATCTACAGTTTGACCGCCGATAAAAACCCAACCAATGCATGACCAGTCGTGCAAAGGCCTCTTTGTCCAGCAATGGACGTTATTTGGCAGAAACTAACGACCGAAAGAAACTGTTGTGGCTATGGTGGCCAGAACCTTAGGAGCGGCACGGGAGGGTGTTTTTGTAATATCAAACGTCAGCGATCCTTCAAACGTGATTCAGATTTGTATAGTTCCAAAATACTGAACTGTCCTATGAATGACATTGACAGTGGGGCGCCACCGTCAATACCGGATCGCTGGTTCCGATTTTTGCCATGTTGGAAACCATATAGTTGAACGATGGTAGCGCCCCCCTGTCATTGAGTTTGGTGGGACAGTTCAGCGTGGGTCATCTATATGCTTTGTCACGTCATAATATGTCAATGTCACCCGCTCCTATAATATCTCAGGCACTGGCTCAGTTAAGCGGTAGGCCTATTCATTGGGTATTTACGATAAAATGTACATTCCTCATATTTGTTAAACTTTTATACACTTATCGCTCTCTTATCGAACTCTTGAAATATTTCGTATCTTATAGTATTTTTCCTTTGTCCCATATTTCTTACTACTGATAGCATTTCCGGAGTTTTTAATCAATTTCATTGAATATGTTTACTGAATGATAATATTAAATCAAGGATGTGAAATAACACGCAATATTCTTATTTGAAATGCGTAAGTGCTCAAACGAAAACAACTTTTTATTTGGGGGATATGACTGAAAATTTTGTTATGATGCATTCTCTCTCGGACTAAAATACCTACTTTCAAATCTTTCCATGGAACTTCATTTAAAGAGAGATTACATTTGATATGTAGTCTCTCAGCTCAGAAACATTCCAAAAATATTTTCATGTAAATTAACGCCAAGACAAATACATATTGCTTGCACACTAAAAAAAGTTATCATATCTTTTGAACAGCCAAACCAACCAAACCGAACAGAAAAATCTGCCCCCACTGGGAATCGAACCCGGGACCTCTGCGTCTGAAGCAGGTGGTCTAACCACTAGACCACAGAGGCGGTTGAATCTTATCTTATCTTAACTTATCGCTCTCTTATCGTACTCTTGAAATACACTCGACATCAAATAAATCGCACCTCCCGCGACAAGCATTTTCAAACGTATGCATCCCCACTTCCTACCAATATTGGCACCATTTAAAAGCCTAGTTCTAACCTTCATTTCATTAAAGGAAAGGTTTTTACCCCAAAGATGTGTCTTAAGTCTTAAAAGTGACGTATTTTTTCAAGTCATATTTATGGTATATATTAATCATTTATTAAGAGATTAAATGTGTTTTTCTTTAAGGATATTTATTGGGCTTTCAAATCACACCAATATCGTTGGGGCACCATGATTGTGTCAGAATAAAATCGTTAAAGTTCGCGTCGCGGAAGGTGCGGTTTATTTGATGTTGAGTATATTTCATTATCTTATAGTGTTTTTCCTTTGTCCCATATTTCTTACTACTGATAGCATTTACGGAGTTTTTAATCAATTTCATTGAATATGTTTACTGAATGATAATATTAAATCAAGGATGTGAAATAACACGCAATATTCTTATTTGAAATGCGTAAGTGCTCAAACGAAAACAACTTTTTATTTGGGGGATATGACTGAAAATTTTGTTATGATGCATTCTCTCTCGGACTAAAATACCTACTTTCAAATCTTTCCATGGAACTTCATTTAAAGAGAGATTACATTTGATATGTAGTCTCTCAGCTCAGAAACATTCCAAAAATATTTTCATGTAAAGTAACGCCAAAACACACTAAAAAATGTTATCATATCTTTTTGGACAGTCAAGTTTCTAACTTCCATAATAGCGTTCTGCATAAATCCTAGTACATATTAAGTTCTCTAACAAACCCTACACCTCAGTCAAAAAACATAACCCTCCTTCTGGTGCAGTCGGGTAATAAAACGGTTCATACATTAAGCCTGGGTTGCACCATCTTATTAATCGTAACTATAACCATAACCGCTGTTTTGTAGTTAAAATAAGTTTGTTACAGTTAAAATAAGATCAGAGTTAAACCATTATTTTCTACTAGCTTTCCGCCCGCGGCTTCGCCCGAATGGAATTTTGTCTGTCACAGAAAAACTTTATCGCGCGCGTCCCTGTTTAAAAAACCGGGATAAAAACTATCCTATGCCCCTGCCAAATTTCATAAAAAACGGTTCAGTGGTTTAGGCGTGAAAGAGAGACAGACAGACAGACAGAGTTACTTTCGCATTTATTAAATTAGTATGGATGAGAAGATATTCAATGGGTATATTTTCTTCCAGCGGAGGCCTATCCAACTTCCTCTACTACGTGGCTCTCCCAGAAGACACCTCGATGCTCAAGTTCACTCAACGAGAGAGCTCTCCCGAAGACGAGAACCCTGACTCCGTGACGTCACTGTCCAGAGGCATCATCAAGAAGGGCATGAATAGGTGCAACTCTTTCGTCATTGAGGAGCCTAAGAAGGTAATTATTTGTATAACAGATAAAGCCTGGTCCGTGAGCACGTAGAATCCCGTCCAATGACCCCAAGCTGCCCATCCTTGTCGCTCGCACGCAATTATGTTGCTGTCGCGCTCGCACACTCACTGCGGGCGCGCGTCGCACAGTCGCGACATCAATATAATTACGCGCGAGCGATAAGGATGGGTAGCTTGGGGTCATTGGACTAAATTCTACGTGCTCACGGACCAGGCTTTAGAATCATTATTATGTACATGCAATCATACGCCCGTATTCACAAACATTACCGTGGACGCACAGGGTGTCACACGAACCAATCATAGAGCTCTATTCAACGCTGTGCGTACGATTTGTTGCTTCACTTAACCAAGCATCGTTTGTGAATACGGGCGATAGTCTTCTACACGGGACTATCCTCCACCTCTCGTTCCTACCGCTGCAACTCCTGTGTAGCCAGGATCTACAGCTTGACCTCCCACAACCAGTGAAGGTCAAGTTTGTCCCGGGGGAAAGTTATACTGTCATTGGACCCGCAACGAAATTGATCAGAAGAACATAGGAGTTCGAAGTTAAGGTTCGACTTCCCTCCATTGCAAGGCCGATGACAAGGTGACAAACGGGCTGGGGATGCCTGATGTTCCTCATCATCATCGTCATTTCAGCCACAGGACGTCTACTACTGAACATAGGCCTCCAATGATTTGCAACGCACGGATAGTAGCGGCCTGCATCCAGCGCCTTCCTGCTACCTTTATCAGGTCGTCGGTCCACCTTGTGGGTGGACGTCCCACGCTGCGTTTTCCGGTACGCAGCCTCCATTCCAGAACCTTACTGCCCCATCGGCCGTCAGTTCTGCGTACTATGTGCCCTGCCCACTGCCACTTCAGCTTGATAATCCTTCGGGCTATGTCTATGCTGAATAAAGTATTCTTATCTTATCCATTCTCTCCCAGGTTCTCCTCAGGATATACGGCCAAGTCCACGGGGAAAGAGCGATGGACGCCATAGTGACGGAGTCTGTTATATTCACCCTGCTATCGGAGAGGCGATTGGGCCCGAAGCTGCATGGGGTATTCTCTGGAGGAAGGATCGAGGAGTATATACCGGTGAGTATCATTTGTGCACCATCGTTCGTTCGTTCGTTTCAGCCAAATGACGTCCACTGCTGGACAAAGGCCTCCCCCAAGGATTTTCATAACGACTGGTCCTGCGCTGCCCGCATCCAGGTTCTTCCGGCAACATTCACCAGATCGTCGGTCCACCTAGTGGGAGGTCTGCCATTAATTAGGAAATGTTTTAAAATTTTTGGGCAGATGGATCTCATTTAATGAAAGAAAGTCCACTTCTAAAAAATCCACAAGGATTTCCATAGCGAATGGTCCGTGGTCGTCACTTGAGTAACAAACGCTGGCCGTTTCAGTCACAAAAAATCTGGTGCCATCCAATGTCTAAGTAGCTCAGATAGAAGAGCGGTAGCTCGGCAAGCGTAAGGGCGTGGGTTCGCTTCCCTCTCTAGGCAATTCGATTTTCTCAAGTTAGCTTTCCGCCCGCGGCTTCGGCCGCGTGTAATTTTGCCTGTCACAGAAAAACTTTATCGCGCGCTTCCCTGTTTCAAAAACCGGGATTAAAACTATGCTTATAAACTATGTCCGTGGGCAGGCCTCCTACTAGGTGCACCGACGATCTCGTAAAGGTCGCGGGAAGAGCCTGGATGCGGGCAGCGCAGGACCGTGCATTGTGGAAAACCTTGGAGGAGGCCTTTGTCCAGCAGTGGACGTCATTTGGCTGAAACGAACGAACGAACGAAACTATGTCCTTTCCCGGGACTCAAACTATCTCTATGCCAAATTTCATCAAAATCGGTTCAGTGGTTTAGGCGTGAAAGCAAGACAGAGTTACTTTCGCATTTATAACACTGGTCAACACATGTTTTTTCTGTTATTGGGTATTTCTATGGCCCTGATTATGAAAAAAATACTGGGAGATCGCCAACAGCTTTACTTTTTAAAATATAGAGCTTTATTATTTTGACAAAAAAATACGAAAAATTATACATTGTGCTAATAAAATTTCAATTGAACACTAGCAAATGATATTTTATATAATTTCCTTGAATAGGCAAGTTTGAGTAGATCTCGTTGCAAACTGCAGCAATGGTCTGCCATTCATATATGAGCACCACGCCCCTGATAACCTTCTTCCATTGTCAGAAAATTCCAATGAAAACTTTTATCCTGCTCCTCACTAAAATCACCCACATTTTGTGGAAATCGATGTTAATGCGAGTACATGAAGTGTATATTTNTCACTTAAGCAAGCATCGTTTGTGGGAGATAGTCTTCTACACGGGACTATCCCACCTCTCGTTCCCACCGCTGCAACTCCTGTGTAGCCAGGATCTACAGCTTGACCGCCAATAACCCAACCAGTGAAGGTCAAGTTTGTCCCGGGGGAAAGTTAAACTGTCATTGGACCCGCAACGAAATTGATCAGACGAACAATATAGTTCGAAGTTAAGGTTCGACTTCCCTCCATTGCAGACAGGTGACAAACGGGCTGGGGATGCCTGATGTTCCTCATCATCATCATCATTTCAGCCATAGGACGTCCACTACTGAACAAAGGCCTCCAATGATTTCCTTATCGGTCGTTTGGTAGCGGCCTGCATCCAGCGCCTTCCTGCTACCTTTATCAGGTCGTCGGTCCACCTTGTGGGTGGACGTCGGACGCGTTTTCCGGTACACGGCCTCCATTCCAGAACCTTGCTGCCCCATCGGCCGTCAGTTCTGCGTACTATGTGCCCTGCCCACTGCCACTTCAGCTTGATAATCCGTCGGGCTATGTCTATGCTGAATAAAGTATTCTTATCTTATCTTATCCATTCTCTCCCAGGTCCTCCTCAGGATATACGGCCAGGTCCACGGGGAAAGAGCAATGGACGCCATAGTGACGGAGTCTGTTATATTCACCCTGCTATCGGAGAGGCGATTGGGCCCGAAGCTGCATGGAGTTTTCTCTGGAGGAAGGATCGAGGAGTATATACCGGTGAGTATCATGTTGTGATCAAGGCCGCAACTAAGTGCTCGGTTAGCGAAAGTACCCGGAAAGCTGCAGTCCGCGAGGAATGGCGCCGTATTACGAGGAACATCACTCTGAATCGTGATTCAAGATGATGACCACGACCACTCTGACAAGAGTGTACCGACTGAGAAGAAGAAGAATCATGTTGTGAACCATCGTTCGTTTGTTCGTTTCAGCCAAATGACGTCCACTGCTGGACAAAGGCCTCCCCCAAGGATTTCCATAACGACTGGTCCTGCGCTGCCCGAATCCAGGTTCTTCCCGCGACCGCCACTTAATCGTCAGTCCACCTAGTGGGAGGTCTGCCATTAATTAGGAAATGTTATAAAATTTTTGGGCAGATGGATCTCATTTAATCAAAGAAAGTCCACTTCTAAAAAATCCACAAGGATTTCCATAGCGAATGGTCCGTAGTCGTCACTAGAGTAACAAACGCTGACCGTTACAGTTACAAAAATCGGGAGCCACCCAATGTCTAAGAAGCTCAGATGGAGTTGTTCGGCAAGCGAAAGATCGTGGGTTCGATTCCCTCTCTAGTCAATTCGATTTTCTCAAGTTATTTAAAACTAGCTTTCCACACGCGGCTTCGCTCGCGTGTAATTTTGCCTGTCACAGAAAAACTTTATCGCGCGCTTCCCTGTCTCAAAAACCGGGATAAAAACTATCCTATGTCCTTTCCCGGGACCCAAACTATCTCTATGCCAAATTTCATCAAAATCGGTTTAGGCGTGAAAGCAAGACAGAGTTACTTTCGCATTTATATATTAGTATAGATGTAATGAGGGCTATCGTTTTAGCGCTCACTAGTTAGCGCCACTGTAGAGTAAGGTCCTGTCACTTGCTAGTAGCGAAGACAGTGGCGCCAACTGGTGTGCGCTAAAGTGGTAGGAGGACTATCGCATTTGCACTCATCAAGATGGCGCCACTGTAGAGTAAGGTCCTGTCAATCACCAGGGGTGCCAACTGTTAAATATAAAAACGATAGCCCTCATTACAAAAACTTTGCTTTTTTCAGGCGCGCGCTCTCCTCACAAAAGAGCTAGCGGAACCGTCCCTCTCAATGAAGATCGCGGAGAAAATGGCCGCCATTCACTCTATGGACGTGCCGCTGTCCAAGGAGCCCAACTGGCTGTGGAAGACCATGGCCAAGTGGCTCAAGACCGTCCGCGACGAGCGGCTGTCGAGCACCGCCAACACGCAGAAGGTATGTCACTTGGAGGTGGCTCAGTCATTTGGCTCGGTCAAATTAAGGTGGCTCAGTCACTTGAAGGTGGCTCAGTTACTTGGCTCGGTCACTTGAGGGTGGCTCAGTCACTTAAGGTGACTCAGTCACTTGGCTCGGTCACTTGAAGATGGCTCAGTCACTTGAAGGTGGCTCAGTAACTTGGCTAGGTCACTTGAAGGTGGCTCGGTCACTTGAAGGTGGCTCAGTCACTTAAAGACAGCGAGGCGGTCACTTTAAGTCAGCTCGGCGGTCACCCTCGGTTCAGAGCAGTGTTCGCTCCTCCTTAGGTCGCTGGTAACTAGCTGGTCACTCGCGCTCTCTCCATTGAATATAGCCGCCTCGCTCCATGCATGTGCCGCTGTCCAATTAGCCAACTGGCTGTGGAAGACCATGGCCGAGTGGCTCAAGACCGTCCGCGACGAGCGGCTGTCGAGCACCGCCAACACGCAGAAGGTAGGTCACTTGGAGGTAGCTCAGACACTTAAAAGTGTCAGTCAGTCACTTGAAGGTGGCTCGGTCACTTGGAGGTGGCTCAGTCACTTGGATCGGTCACTCGAAGGTGGCTCGGTCATTTCATGAAGGTGGCTCAGTCACTTGGCTCGATCATTCGAAGGTGGCTTTTAGGGCCGATTTTCAATCGTTAGATATCTTTTAACTGAAGAATAAACTTGTCATTTTGATATATTTTCCATACTGAAAGTGTCAATGTCCCAAACTTATTCTGCAGTTAAAAGTTATTGAAAAATTAACTAAAATAAATGGAAAATTAACTTAAATATTCTAACATTCACCCATTCTTCTCCAGCAGAACGAAGAAGAACAACGGATAATAAAGCGGCTGAGAGGCATCGACTTCGAGAAAGAAATCGAATGGGTGAAGAAGTTCATAGCGACGGTCGAATCGCCAGTCGTCTTCTGCCACAACGACCTGCAAGAAGGTAGGATTTGAATTTGAAATTGATTTGAAGCACTGACCTATATCCTATACACACTGGCTGCTGTAAAAATATCTTTGTATCTATTTGAATTTTGCCATTTTGGCGCTGTAGGCAGATAAAGTCCGGTCGCCGAGCACATAGAATTTCGTCCAATGACCCCAAGCTACCCATCCTTATCGCTCGCGCGTAATTATATTGCTGTCGCGACTGTGCGACGGGCGCCCGCAGTGAGTGTGCGAGCACGATAGCAATATAATTACACGTGAGCGATAAGGATGGGTAGCTTGGGGTCATTGGACGAAATTCTATGTGCTCGGCGACTGGACTTTACGAGTGTCCATGGAACTAAATTAGTGATTTTCTTTAACGTTTTAAAGGTGAACTGAGTTTCTTGCGCTGCTTCTTCTCAGCACTGGCCCATTTATTGTCCCGAAGCAGTGGTAGGGTTAAAGTAACACTAAGGCCCAGAACAGACGGTGAAAGTTTCAAACTGGTCGCGTCATGTGTGGTCTCAACGGAATCTATGGCAGAAAGTTGGATGCAACTCAAAAAAAGTAACTAGAAGTTGCAGTTTCGTTGCAATTGCGTTTCACCGTCTGATCTAGGCCTTAGTCGTGTAAAGGCTCTATGAAAACCTCTTTGCAAAAAATAAATAAAATAACTTACATGACTCTCACACTTATCGGCCGTTTGGTGTAGTGGTTCGGAACGGACTACTATGCCGAGAGGTCCCGGGTTCGATTCTCGGTCAGGCAGAAATTGAAATGATGAATTTAAATTTCTGTGACGGGTCTGGGTGTTACTATGTATAATAAGTATTTATTTACAAAAAAAAGTATTTAAGTANGTCACACGCAGGTGGCTCATTCACTTGGCTCGGTCACTTGAAGTTGGCTCGGTCACACTTGAAGGTGGCTCGGTCATTCGAAGATGGAAAGTGGCTCAGTCACTTGTAGGTGGCTCAGTCACTTGGCTCGGTCACATGAAAGTGGCTCGGTCACTCGAAGGTGGCTCACTCACTTGCAGGTGGCTCGGTCACTCGAAGGTAGCTCAGACACTAACCATACTACCAAATATCTATAATTTATTTGCAAAATTCACCATCCCAACTAAAAAACTTCACATTTTTAAAGTTATAAAAAATATTCTAAAATTCACCCATTCTTCTCCAGCAGAACGAAGAAGAACAACGGATAATCAAGCGGCTGAGAGGCATCGACTTTGAGAAGGAAATCGAATGGGTGAAGAAGTTCATAGCGACGGTCGAATCGCCAGTCGTCTTCTGCCACAACGACCTGCAAGAAGGTAGGATTTGAATTTGAAATTGATTTGAAGCACTGACCTCTATACACACTGGACTGGCTGCTGTCAAAATATCTTTGTGCCTATTTGAATTTTGGCGCTGTAGGCAGATAAAGTCCGGTCGCCGAGCACATAGAATTTCGTCCAATGCCCCCAAGCTACCCATCCGTATCGCTCGCTCGTAATTATATTGCTGTCGCGACTGTGCGACGGGCGCCCGCAGTGAGTGTGCGAGCGCGATAGCAATATAATTACACGTGAGCGATAAGGATGGGTAGCTTGGGGTCATTGGACGAAATTCTATGTGTTCAGTGTCCATGGAACTAAAATAAGTGATTTTCTTTAACATTTTAAAGGTGAACTGAGAGTTACTTGCGCTGCTTCTCAGCACTGGCCCATTTATTGTCCCGAAGCAGTGGTAGGGTTGAAGTAACACTAAGTCATGTAAAGGCTCTATGTAAACCTCTTTGCAAAAAATAAATGACTTACATGACTCTCACACTTATCAGCCGTTTGGTGTAGTGGTTCGGAACGGACTACTATGCCGAGAGGTCCTGGATTCAATTCCCGGCCGGGCAGAAATTGAAATGATGAATTTAAATTTCTGTGACGGGTCTGGGTGTTACTATGTATAATAAGTAGGTATTTATTTACAAAAAAAAGTATTTAAGTATGTTTATATCCGTTGTCTAGTACCCATAGTACAAGCTTTGCTTAGTTTGGGACTAGAAGCGTAGTGTAAAATGTCCAAGGATATTTATTTATTAATTTTCCCAGGAAACATCCTGCTTCTAGAAGATGTAATAACCGTCTCGGACGACGAAGTATCATCCGTATACGTCCAAACTTACGACACGGACGCGCCAAAATCCGACAAAGAGAACAACCATACTCACTCCGACACCGACTTACGCTTGACCGAAAACATAGGCTCGGCCGAAAACATACGCTCGGCCGAAAGCCTCCGCTCGGGCGAAAAACTCCGCTCGGCCGAAAAACGCTCGCATGACAGCATAAGAACGGACAAACGTATCAGTGCGGTCGAACCGTTGTCTACGTATGAAGACGCGAATACATCTGATAGCATTTTGAGCCATATTTCAGACTCAGGAGAGCCCAGATTGGTGCTGATCGATTTTGAGTACTGCGCGTACAATTACAGAGGTTTCGACATAGCGAACCATTTTCAAGAGTGGGGGTATGATTATACAAACCCAGAGCACCCGTTTTACTTTGAAAATCAGGAGAATTGCCCGACGCTAGAACAAAAGGTGAGTTTCTTTACTATATTATATGTTAAAATAACGGCAGATAACTTGACACTTTGATATATTAATGTATCTAATCCTCTAAAGGCATATGAAGCTAATCACTGTTATAATAATGTAAGAGGCATTATATTGAAGTGAAATTATTGTCTTAGTAGCTCAATGGTTTCTCGGTAGCTCATGGGTTCAATCCCCATCTGAGACACTATTTTTTCATTCCAAAATTCCATTGAGATATACAGGAGGTCCCAAAAAGTAGTGTCAAGTCGAATCGGTAGGGCATGACTAGGGCTATCCAAATCACACTTGGAAAATTCATAACTCTTTAACTATCAAAAGTTGCGGTAATTCGTTTAGCCCTAGTGATGGTCTACCTCTGGGCTTTGGCTTGACTCCACTTTTTGGGACACCCTGTATGTTTTTGCGTTTTTTAAGTTCAGATACTGTATAAACCTTCCATGAAACTTGTTTGTATTATTTGCCGAGAGATGTCACTGTACTTTGAGACGCGTAAAGCTGTACCGCGGTGTCCAGATTTTTTTCCCTGGCTTTATATACCTGGAGTATTTTGACATCTGTTAACCTTTAAGAACCTTTGACAACTATTGTGAACCATTGACAACCTGTGTCAAGCAATAAATTGTCACCTAAATATTGACGTCTTATTTAAACCTAGATAAGAGTCCCTTAAGTGCGCCGAGAGTATCCGTGGTTTATTCATGGTCCTGTCGAGTCGGATATCATCAGGAAGCTGATGTCCATTGGGCACTGGTAACGGTGCAGGTGCCGCGATTACGCTTCGTGCATTTTTGGAGGGGGGTGACGTCCTGGACAGTGGATCGCTGTCACAAACAGGACAGGTCAAGAAGCTGGGTCAGCTAGGAGCTGCTGACACCAGTTTGACAGTACCAGCTGTGGTGCTGTCAGGGCAACCAACTGGTTGAGGAAGATCAGGAGATGATGACGGTGGTGCTGCGGTGAAGTGGCGCCATCTGGTGGAAACACGATCGGAGCCCTACGGGATTCATGCTGGAGCCCTAAGGAGTTCGTGTTGGAGCCCTAAGCGGTTCGTGTCGGAGCCCGAAAGGAGTTCGGGTTCGGAACCCGAAGAAGTTCGTGTTGATGAAGAGTTCGCCGTCGATTGTGATAGTGTGTGAGTGAGACGGATATAACTGTGAGTACTCTTTTGGCATTTTATTATTTGAGAAGAAAGTTGAAGGGTTTTGGACTTTATTTACACTGGTAGTTTAACTTAGAAATTTTAAATTGTTTACATTGACTTAGAATAATTTTAGATTAGTATNCTGACCAGCCCACTCTACAGGCACCTAATGTAAAATTACCAAAAGTAAATATTCCGATCTTCTCAGGAAAGTACTCGGAATGGAACACCTTCCGAGACTTATTTCAGTCTTTGATACATTCGAACAAGACTTTAGGAAATGCTCAAAAATTGCTCTATTTAAAGGGGTACTTACAGGGTGAGGCCGAGCAACTTTTATGTAACATTCCGATTACTGATAGTAATTACGAGCATTGTTGGGGTTTGTTAGACGAGAGGTATAACAACAAGCGATACATTTGTCATCATATTTTGAAGAGACTACTAAGCCAGAAAAATGTAACTTGTGAGTCGGCTAGTGGGTTGAAAGGTCTGATGGACACCACAAATGATTGTTTGTCCGCTCTGTCTAACATTGGCATAGATACGGGTACCTGGGACGTGCTGGTAATTCATATAATAACTTTGAAGTTGGACCCTGAATCAAAAAGGCAATGGGAGTTTAGCATCGCGGATAATAACTCTACCGAGCTACCAACTTACGATCAGTTCGAACAGTTTCTTAAAAACCGTTACCGCGCCCTTGAGTTTTTGAGTTCAGAGTCCAAACTAATTCCTAACAAAAACTTGCCTGTTAGTCAAATTAAGGCCATGCACGTTACCACTTTTGTTTGTCCCTTTTGTAAGAAGGAGCACAAATTGAGCACGTGTAAGGGTTTTAGGGATACGTCTGTGGATTTACGTCGCGAATTTGTTGCTTCTCACAATGTTTGCTTTTGTTGTCTCGGAAACAATCACTCTGCCAAATTCTGTCGCAGTGAGTACAAGTGTCGCATATGCAAGAGGAAGCACCACGCTCTGCTGCATCCTACAAACAAGTTTGCTGCTCAGGAACCCCAAAACGGGGAGGTTACTACGGCTGACACCAAGAAAGTTGGTGCTGTTATTTCCTGTACGTCTACAAGAAGCACTGTGGATTATAGCCAGGTTTTGCTAGCGACGGCACTTGTAGATACTGTATCGAAACACGGCCAAACTTACACGATTCGTTCTCTACTGGATCAAGGGTCCCAATCTTCTTTTATTACCGAGGCAATGGTACGGTTATTGGGTTTGAAGAAGATACCAGCTAGAGGGCAAATAGTAGGAGTAGGTGGCACGAACGGGCTCACGACAAAGTCGATGGTAGAAATAAAAATATCATCACGGGTTGATCCAAACTTTATTATGACGGTGAAAGCTTATGTACTAGGTTCCATCACTTCGCTTTTGCCTAACCAAAAGATAACAGCGGAGGAGTGGAAGGAGCTTGAGGACATTGTCCTTGCGGATCCGAGCTATTATACATCTAACAGGGTGGATTTGTTGTTAGGGTCAGAAGTATATAGCCGGGTAATTCAAAACGGAGTCATCAAGGGACCGCTTGGTTCACCACTTGCTCAGTGTTCGTCATTGGGGTGGATTTTGTCTGGTGTTGTTCACACGCCCATGAAGCCTTCTGAAACAATAAATGTGATGCACTGTAGCGTGGAGGATAATCAGTTTAGGAAGCTAGAAGATGACATTCCGTTGCCAAAGAAAGCAACGTGTTCAGAAAATGAAAAGACATGCGAAGGATACTTTACCAGAACTACTCGTAGAGATGACACTGGTCGATACATTATGCGTCGTCTTCCGGTGAAGAACGAAGATCCAGATGTGAAGAATTCTGTGCAGATACCTGAAAAAAGAATGTATTCATTAGAACGAAGACTGAAGAACGGTGACCTGAAACAGAAATACATAGAGGTTTCTAATGAATATGTTAGCATGAATTTGGATCATGGTGAAAATTCTCCAACGGCGGCTGAGAAGATACTGTCAGACTTTTATATGGACGATCTCATGATGGGTTGCGGAACTGTCGATCAGGGGACTCAACTTTACAAGGCTAAGTTGACTACTAACAATGAAGATTTGGTAAAGGCAATGAAAGAAAGTAGTGATGTAGTAAGTCAGTGGAAAGGAAACGAAGAAGACCTGAAAGGAAAACTGACGAAAAAATAAAAAGTGGTGGTATTGCCTGGAACCGAAGTGAAGATGTACACCGCTGCAAGGTCGACGTGCAGACCTATGAAAAACCTGTAACAAAAAGAAAGGTTAAATAAAATAAAAAGGATTCGCTTGAGAGACGCGATGGGTATTCAACATCAGTAGAGATACAGAAGGCTATGGGTTGTATAGTGTAGTTGCATGCCAATCTGAGAACTTTAGTGCTGATGTTGAAAGGATAAAAGAAAATGTATACTTACCCAAACGTAATTTTCTCCGGTTCTTGAATCTTTCCTTGGTGTAAACAATATTATGTTGAAAATTGGTTGGAGACTTGAAAACTCAGCTTCATGAACGTCGCGCCATAAGGTAAAACATAAAGGTGGACTATGCAGATTCGTCAACCTAAAAGTTGGCAATTTAGTTGTCGTAAAAAAGGACAACTAGCTACGGGTTTTGGCTTAGTGGCAGGGTGGTTGTGGTCCATCCCGGTAACGTCGATGTTAAGGTTGTAGAGTTTCAAGGTAAACGATTTGGTCTCCTTCCTAGGGCTAAATAATTTTAGTTTATTTAGTTTTAAGGTTTTGAGTATATTTAATATGTTTTTGTTATTTTACGGTACAATGGTTTTTTACATGGTTTATTTTAATTTTATTGTTGATGTGTACCGTAACATGTTTCATGGTGGGCGATGCATTCGCATTAAGTTTCATTGGGTTTATTTCGATTTTCCTGTTGTTAAGGACCTAGGAAGGTCCTTGGTGGGCGATATGTATAAACCTTCCATGAAACTTGTTTGTATTATTTGCCGAGAGATGTCACTGTACTTTGAGACGCGTAAAGCTGTACCGCGGTGTCCAGATTTTTTTCCCTGGCTTTATATACCTGGAGTATTTTGACATCTGTTAACCTTTAAGAACCTTTGACAACTATTGTGAACCATTGACAACCTGTGTCAAGCAATAAATTGTCACCTAAATATTGACGTCTTATTTAAACCTAGATAAGAGTCCCTTAAGTGCGCCGAGAGTATCCGTGGTTTATTCATGGTCCTTCGAGCCGGATTTTGGGCCTTGTTGCAAGAGAATAAGGTTCAGAACTAGTTGGTGAAGATATTAATATGTACTGCATTTTTAAATTAGGGAAGCTAAAAGATGTAAAAACAATAATATCACCCACGTGTATAAAAATGAGACCGAATGAATATAATTTTACAAAAAAATCTTGGGATTGCTAACTTCGGCTTAAGATATAACTAACAAAGAAACGAACACGCATAAACATTACCCTTTTCACTGCAGTCGGGTAACGCTTCACAACAATGGCTTACGTTAAGAACTTCGTAGTTTAAGCAAACATTTTTCTTTAAAAACGAGCAACTTTGTTTTTATTTATCAATATTCGCTGTATATTTCAAATATACAACGTATATTTTTTGTATACAACAGTCAAACATGCAATATATAAAAATATTATAGTCTATTATTAGTAGCAATCAATATTTAGTCATATTTTTATAATAATACGTAACAAAATTGCTCGTCCATGCTTTCATCATGTTCTTGAAGTTCCAGACAAGCGAATATGACCCATGCGTCATGAGCTAATGAGGTTCGTAATCATTTACATCGCTAGAAATAACATTTTTAATTTAAAATCAAACCTCTATCAATGAACAAGGCAACATATTATTTTTGGAACAAAACAACGACCTCCTTCTGTGCAGTCTGTTAAAATATATTTTTAAAGTTTACTGAAAAGAGGTATTCAACTGTTCAGAGCATGAATGCTTTTCTATAATTATTACATTAAATTAATAAAAAGATACGTTCAATTTATTTTTATTTGTTGCAACACAGAACGTTAACGCGCAGCATTTAACCAACCCTCTGGTCCCGGGTTCGATTCCTAATGGGAGTTTTTAATGTTTTCTGGGTTGACGGTAGAGCTGATTCTAAGTCCACCTAGCTGACTACCTCTGTAGTTGAGGATTCCGGTTGAAGCTAACTTCCACCTTCGGCCTGATCGTCACTTACCATCTGGCGAAATTCAGGCCAAGGGCTTTTCCGTTGTGGTTGAAAAAAGGTCGTACACCTACCATAGAATTTAAAAAATAGGGTATTTGACACCACCAATCAATTGACGTACTTTTTAAAACTGTCAAAACGACACTCTCCCATAGATTTTGTACGGCGATACTAGCATGTGACGTCACAATTTTATCAACTCAATGAAACTACTTTTTACAATTTTAATGCAACCAAAAATCGTAATTTTCAGGTAATTAAAAATTAATTAAGTTTTTAAGACCAGAAAGAAGTGTTTTTTAAAAAAGTTGTGGTTTAGAATTATTGGCGAATGGTGTCAAATACCCAATTGTCAAGCATCTAAATGTAGAAGTGTTGCAACAAATAATTTATTCATAAACAAGAGTAACACATCGGGGGTACCCATAGACAATAGCCACTACGCAGCTTGTGTGTGTTATGCTTGGTTTTTAGTCGCAGCGGCATACTCTATGGTCGGGCCATAGACAACTGGGCTGACATAGACCACCGGCGCTGGCATAGCCACGAGACTCCGGCGTTCTCGAGTAAAAGTACAAACGAAATGAGAGTCCATTTTTATTTATTTTTATGTATAGTGTTGCCAGTTGGATGATGTTTTTAATTACAGATAAATAAAATAACATTTGATGACTGGCAACACTTTTGTGTTTTTTTTTATAGAATGAAATATATGTTTCGTAATTGTTTTGTTCATTATTTCTTTTATTGTGGTTATCGAAACATATATTTCGATATTATTATTATCAACAGTAACTTTATTATTATTATAACAAAAGCTTTGTAAAAAGTATATTATTAATATAGATTAATCAATTTCTTCTCGTAAAACAATTATATTTTATAATTTCGCAATAATATAATAGAAGAATAAAAAGCTTTACATTCAAATATTTTGTTGCAAAAAATCAAAGCAAAAATAATATTGTAATTATTTTATTTCATGATAACTTATTAATTCTTGTTACCTGACACAAATCAGTGTAACATAAGTATATTATATTTTACGAATGATATGTTATACAATAAATAATGTAATAAATATACATAAACTAGAAATAACACGAATAATTTACAACAATTTTTGTCAGAGATTAGATGATTTGTTTCTTAAAAAACGCCAATCTAGCTTACCGAGCTACAATTATTATTTGCGGGTTTGAATCATGATGGGTGCTTACTTAACCCGTTATGTAGTCGCTATTTGCACAAGTTGGTCTCGTTTTGACGTTATTATTACCGAAAAAGTTGTAAATTTCTCGTGTCATTGCTAAATATTCTCCCGAAACTTGTATTATACTCTCTATAATATATAATGTATATATTTATTTTACATGCTTGATTCTAACCTGTATACACGTTTCCAGGAAATATTCATCAAGGAATATCTGAAGCACTACCACATGAACATTTCTGAAGATAAGGAGCCGCCTGCAGCTACCATAGACGAGATAAACCATCTGCTCAACGAAGTGGATGCCTTCGCGCTGGCCAGCCACCTGTTCTGGTGTCTATGGTCTGTGGTCAACGCTTCGAAGAGTCAGATACCTTTCGGATATTGGGTAAGTGTTTTGTTTTTGAACCTGTATTGTTTAGTTGTCCTATCAGGTCACTGCACGAGCACGACCCTCTAATTTACCAGAGGCAAGAAGAGGATTTGACTTAAACTCTCCACGCTGGCCAGACGGGTTAGGGAGGCCTGTGGGCCGAGTGTGAGTTTAATGAATGTATGAAAATCAAACGCGCGTCTAATGAATGTATGAAAATTTTAGTTTTTGAACGTTTCTCGCTAGTGGCGCTGTACAATCCGTCATACATTTAATGTCACTTTTGTTGCGCTCACTAGTGAGCGCATTTGATGATAACTCACACTAGGCCTTCTGATGTACGCATGTTTATGCCTTAGTCGCGTATTACGATATCATGAAGAGTGGTGGTGGTACTTACTGAGTTTGTTCCGGCGTTTCTTCTCAGCACTTGCCATATGTTTGTCTCGAAGCGCTGGTAGGGCCCAAAAGATAAGGAGACATGTAAAGTGCCCCATAAGGGCTACCTTTTTCTTTTTTTTATTATTTTCTATTGACATTCATAAGTGCCACTTGTGGTCTAAACTGAATAAATATTTTTGATTTTGATTTTTGATTTTATTCTACTCTGTCGAAACACATGACTTTGTATAGATAATATCCTAAAATATAGATATAATGTATTTATTCTTGGTGTTTTAGTATTTTACTAGCTGACCCGGCGAACTTCGTACCGCCTTAGCGTAGAGATTTTCTTAATATTTTTTTCCGTAAGAACCATCCTTGGACTTCCACAAACATTTAAAAAAAAGAATTATCGAAATCGGTTCAGCCGTTCACACGTGATGCCGTGACAACGCGAAACGGGTTTCATTTTTATATATATAGATTATTGTAAAACGCTTTTAAAAAGCCTCTTAGCAGAAAATAAATTGATTTTCTGACTGACTTTTTAGGAATACGCGCTCTCCAGGCTAGAGACATACCTCCGCCTAAAGCAAGAGGTCGTGAAGAAGGACAAGTTCGGTTTCCCTCAGAAGAGGAAAATATGCGAAGTGGACATATGAGAGGGATTCGCCGCGCTAACTGTAAGCCATCCCGCTCTGTCGCAGAACGAGTGAGCGAGACAAGTGCATGCTTAGTTGAGCGGCCGAAGGATTTGTAGCGTTGAATTTAGAATGTTTTAGTATTTTTGACGCAGTCAATTAATTAAGTGTTGATTACAAGTATTAAATTGCAGGCTGATTTGCTTTTAAATAGTTTAGGGTGTCAGTGTTGTAGCCTATTTTATACCTTACCGCTTTGGGTTAAGGTCGAATTCACTTGCCCGTAAAATGGTTTAGTTACTTTCACGCTACAAACGCTTCTGCTATACTAAAGCTAAGGCTGCTAAAGACTGACATTTATCACAAATGCATAAAATTATATATTTTAGTTGTTATATTGGCTGTTACTATTGTTATACTTGTTGTGTAACAATTCTATATTTAAACATATTACATTCCTCTCATATTTTGTTACCTATTTATATTGTTATATTCACACATATTGATTTCATTACCTTTATTTATTAAACTTCATTATTATATGAGCCATACTGATATAAATATACATATTATATGTATACAATATAATTTAAATATGCATTTTTGATATTTGTTGCGTTAAAATACAATCTCAGCTCAAAAAATACCAAAATATAATTATGTCCTCATTATAATTGTAAATAATATCTTCTCAATCGTAAAATGGAGTGTTGAACATTATTTATATGTAGAAAAATAGGTGTGAAGTGATACGAAAAACTTATAAAAATATGTGACCTTTTTACACTTTTTATTGATGACAAATTTGATTATTGAATAATATAATCGATTATGTGAATCTTTCCAAAGAAAATCCTTTCGCAATCTACAATCATGGAACTTGTAACTTAAAAACCACATTTTATATAATTATTGTGTGGTTTTGTACTTAATATATTAAATTACGTACTTCAAAACATTACAACTTTAGTTTGAAAATTCTCAACTTAATGGTATTTTTATACCTCTATTATTAATAATAAAATATTGTAAATTGAACTAAAATTAAGAGATTTTTATTTCTGGCAACAAAAGATATCAAGTGGCTAAAATGGCCGATTTTAACATGTTAACAAATACTGAATACGTCTTCGATAAGTGTACAACTTAAAATATATACAACTTTAGGATTACTGACGGTATATATTAACTTCAATCGATAATATCAACATGGAATATCCAGTTTTACCAACATTTCAGGGGCTACTTCCTACAAAGTTATCTAGTTTCATATGTATTCATCTCTCTCACGCACAGCGAGATGTCAGCTGGAGTGACAGTGAGAGAAAGGCCCACAGATATCTTGTTGTTATCAATCGAAGTCTTAACCCTTAATATAGGGAACGATGTGATCTTTAGATATAAGTTAGGGTAAATGATTTAAAGAAACTCTGAAATTGCTGTCTTTATAATAAAACTTACTATAAATTCGATTTACTCGAGGCCTGTAAAATGGCAGAATAAAAAAAATGTACATAATAAAAAATGACATTCCTAAAAATATGCACACTTCAATTTATATTTTGCTTTGTAGTCTATAGTTATATTTTATAAACGTATATTGTAATTTATTTATATAAATAATATAAAGTATACATAAATAATTATAATTTATATAAATAAAATAATTATATACAAGTTATAAACATATAATAGTAGTTTACAAGGTAAAAAATCTCACGCATATCTAAAAAAATATGGCACTGATATTTTTATTTCTTTTTGCTACTGTAAAAAATGCAAGGTAAGGAAATGAGTGCCTTTGGCGTAGATATTGAATAATGTGCGTGAATGAATAAAGTGTACCGATTGAATTTTAAACCACAAAAGTTTCAAGACAGAATATACATGAATCATCAAACCTTAACGAATAAAATTATTTACGTTTACTGAATGTATGCTGTTTTTATACATTATATCATTGATTTATATGAGTCTATATTTTCTCTTCTTTGTCAAGAATCCTCTCAACTAAGAAGTACTGTTGCGCCATCAAGCGTATTTATACAAAACTACCAAATATAAAACTTACAATAAAACAAATATAAATCAATGGTATAAATGTACCCATTTAGCTCGAATATTATCTTCGGTGCATTGAAATACATTCCTATAATGTATAATGAAAGTGTATGATGCATTTAAACGGTTGCCAAGTCAGGATATACGTTTTCAATACCGAATCTTATAATTTAAGAAATAAAACTGAAAATAGTGTGTGTAGTGTAGATGGATGTTTTTTGCAGTTTTGGACTTCTTGATATAAATTTGTTAATACATTACTCTTAATTAATTAATCTGCAATTCATAAAAATATATAATTTTGTATAATTCATTATACATTTTTGTAAATTACTGTGTATTTTGTATTTACAGTACTTATAAACGTAAGTCTCTAGAATTATACAAAAATATATAATTTACTAATTGCTTTTTAGTTTACATCACTTAGATTATGTGATTTTGTATACTTACAGTATATTTGTAAAATGTAATACTTACATAATTATACAGTACAGAAAAGAGCACAAATATAAGTGTATATTGCAGAAAATATAATATACATTGATAATGTATAAATATTCTGTAACATAAATATTTATTATACCATTAATTTTCCAGCAAAAAATCCAGTGATTTTGTATGCTAGGACAAGATTCAAACAATATTAAAGGTTCAGTTTGTATCTTCACTATTTCTTTTTAATTCTATGTACCAAAACATTGTATAAATATTTATACATGTTATATTTTCTGTAATATACAAGCTCATAGTAAACTTAAGGAATATAAGCAGTTGTACAAATATAAAAATCGACTGTTATATCGTACTTATTTCTAGTTGTGTTGTGATACAAAATAATTTGATGTTTATTATTATTAATATTTAAATTAACGAATGTTCGTTTGTACTCGTAGATAGTGATTCAGAAATTATTTAAATAAAATTGTTTAAAATATTTTGTGTTTTGTCTTTATAAAAATAATGGTAATTTGGGCTCTGGTCAATATACATTAAACCTTATTCGCTTTTTATAAAGGTTAGAGTGGGAAGGTTCTAAAATCACAAGTAAAACACTATAATATGGACTTTTAAGAAGACACATTTATTAATTAGAAATCTAAAAAAATAACAAGGACATTTGACTTAGAAAAAATCTTAATTTAATAAATTATCAAAACTCTTTTAAAAACATAATACTATTGCAACATTTAGTGGCCTTTATAAATGTGGGAAAACAGTAGCCACATTAATTTTAAACCGTTTTACTTTGCTTTAGGGTCCAAAATAATGAAAAAATAAGTCGATTTTTAATCATACTCAGTGAAAAACATTTTAACAGCTATATTTTCAAACTAATTTGAGCTTTACTGACTTCGTTTTCAATGGCAGTATAGTTCCCACTTTATTTTGAACCTTACTCCATTGTATTAAGGTCGAAAATCAATTACAATTTTAACTTCATACACATATTTATTGTTTTGATAATAAATTAATACGTTGTTCAATTAGATATGATACATAGTTAACAAACACTGACTTATTACGCGCATGTATCGCTCCCACACACTTTTTAGGTCTGCCTCCCTGAAACAGAAAAAATATTTAAGCAAAAAAACCTTAAAAGTTCATAGAAAAAACATAACATATTAAAAATGACAAATGTTAATTGAAATAGAATCAATAATGTAATGTATTTTTGTAAATTGATCAACGCAATATGTATTTTGATGTGAATAAATATTATGAATTTTAATTTTTGAACTATATATCCGTGCAATATGACCAAAACCGATATCGAACCGAACTTGATCTAAGAAACAAAAGGTCAGTTCTTCATTGAAGGAGCACGACCCCCTTTAATTTACCAGAGGCAAGAGGATTTGTCCTACACTCCCCACGCTGGCCAGACGGGTTGGGGAGGCCTGATGCTCGCATATTTGTCCCTTAGTCGTCTCTTACGACATCCACGAGAAGATTGGGGGTGGTCCTATTCTACTCACTACCTACTGAGAAAGTTCTCGAATGGCGACCACGGGCCAGAAGACGTAGTGTGGGCAGGCCTCCTACTAGATGGACCGACGATTTGGTGAAGGTGAAGGTGAAGCACCTAGATGCTTGCAACGCAGGACCGGTCGTTTTGGAAATCCTTTGTATTGAAGAAGACATCTTTTGGGGCTGAAATGATGAAAAAGTACGGTCGCCGAGCACGTAGAATTTTGTCCAATGACCCCGAGCTACCCATCCTTATCCCTCGCGCGTAGTTATATTGCTGTCGCGACTGTGCGACGGGTGGCTGCAGTGAGTGTGCGAGCGCGACAGCTATATAATTACGCGCGAGCGATAAGGATGGGTAGCTTGGGGTCATTGGACGAAATTCTACGTGCTCGGCGACCGGACTTTAGATAATATTACCTTAATACATCCATCTGTAGTGCACACTGTTCGTACGCGCACAAAAACTGGGCCAGATCTGTCTTGGGCCAACTACCCAGTCTTAGTGGTTCTATACATCTGGAATATACAAAAAAAATATTTAATGAGTTCTTATACTAAACAATACAGGGTGAAATAATGAATTCGGATAATGTATCTTGGAAAAAAAGCGAAAATATTTAAAAAATAAATATGTAGTACAAAATAATCATAAAACCAAAAGCAATTTTATTTCTAACTTGAAATATTAAGAGGATGACCGAGAGAATGCCATATTAGGCATTAAGTTCGAGTTTGGTCCTGTTCAAAGTGCAAATAGTTTTGAATAAATCAACTTCGAAGATTAATCAATTTGTCTGTAGATCCTGGCTACACAGGAGTTGCAGCAGTGGGAACGAAAGGTGGGAATAGTCCCGTATCAATTTTCTTTGTTACAACCTGTATATCCTTACCTTTCCAAAAGGTCAATGAACAACGATCGTAACTCGCGGCCTCTATGCAAGTTGCACGCCAGGCCCACGAGAGCCCGAGTGTATAACCTGGGAAATAAACATCATCGTCATCAGAGGTGGAATTGTGTAAAGCAGTGTTTTTCAACCTGTGGGTCGCTACCCCCCTGGGGGGGTCTATATTAGCCTCTAGCGAAAGGATGTAAAAACTACCTCAGTAAAAAAGTCAGAGAAGTTTTAAACCTAGATTTATTCGAAATCTAATTATGCAAATGCATAAATGTTGTATAGATTGAAGAATTCGGTCCCTTCATATCTTAAGTCTCAGTTTAATCTTCTCAGCTCTACGCACTCACGTCAGCTCCGTTCCTCCAACAAATCCGTTCTTTCCACCCCTCTTCACCGAACTGGTTTTCTCTCCGACTCCTTCCGTCTCCAGGCCATAAGGCTCTGGAACTCTCTGCCTGAAGAGACCAGGCAAGCGTCTAGTAAGTTTTCTTTTAAAAAATCTGTCCATAATCACTTCCTCAAAATGATCTCATCTTCATGAATTGTAATTTCAGTTTAACTCAATCATCTATTTTATGTATGTATTTATTTATTATATATTTTATATATTATTTATGTATGTAGCATATTTGTTTTTGTTTTTCTTTCCTGCACTAGAAGTACCGCCAAACAAATTTCTTTTCTGCTCAACCCAAAGGTAAACTGGTCGAGAATGCTTTAGTGCATTAAGTTCGCCTTATGTTCAAATTTATTTTGGCATAAAAGTTTAAATAAATAAATAAATAAACATCTTTGTAAAAGGCATGAAAAAAAAGCAAACGTCGGGGGGTCGAAAAGTTTTTTTCATACTAGGGGGATCGCGTCATGAAAAAGGTTGAAAAACACTGGTGTAAAGCAATCGCAATCATTTGACAGTTCATAACGTACGATAAAGTCAGTTAAACAAAGCGTTTGACAGAATAATCGTACGTTATGAACTGTCAATTGATTACGATTGCTTTACACAATTCCACCTCAGGTCATGTGGTCTACACTGCAGGACGGCTATAAAATAGGCTAGTTTCCTAAAAAAAACTTTTAGTCCGTCAATTATATTATCAATCAAAGAAGTTATTACGAAGTTCCGCGTGACGTCACAAAGTGCTACACTTTTAAGAACTCCAACGTCACGGGCCTCTTTTGAACGTAGACGCGCTTATATCTTTCAATTTTAATTAGTTTGAAAAAGTGAAAAATACGTGTCGAGTATTTTTTGTTAACTGACGGACTAATTCGAAGTCTTGCTTTTTTGAGAAAACATCGCTATTCACCAGAGGCAAATGAAGGATTTGGCTCTTAGAAACAAATTCTCACCTAAAGTTCAGTTCCAATTCTTGGTATGACTTTTCCAGAAGTTTCGGTTTGAGGCGCATACAAATTAAACTGAAAAGAAAAAAAAATATTATGATTTTGGTAATCCATATTTATCTATACTGATAATAAAACTTAAGAGTTTGTTTGTTTGGTTGAACGCGCTAATTCAGGAACTACTGGTCTGATTTGAAAAAATATTTTTGTATTGGATAGCCCATTTATCCAGGAAGGCTTTAGGCTATATAACAGTTTTTCCCAAAATGGGCGATAACGCTCCCTTGTGGGCGCTGTAGGCTTAACCTTTAACTGGTGACATGGTTTTTGTGTAACGTAACTGGCGTGCGGTCTGAGAGGCCGCTACCGTATCAAGACTGTAGCATAGAAACTAGGTAAGGTAGCATACCACAATCTTTAAAAACAGATTATTAGCATATAGAAGAATTAAATTTAAATAAAATAATAAACTCTAAATATAAATTTAATGCAGAACTTGCTGTTAAATTATATGTAGTAATAAAAATCAAAAAACTAGAGATGTGATCGATAATCGCAAATAAGAAATTTAAATCAACAAATTATAACAAAATTAGTATTTTTTATTATAGTTCCAATGATAATCAATTTAAAAAAACCTATCAGACATAGGTAACCTATAATTTTAGAAAACTGGCATTGGTGAAACTTTTGTATTTTTTATTGGCTGTCAGGACATTTATTGTTTGGCATAAGAGTGGACCGTAGGGTTTGCTCCCGGGAAATCCCGGTACTCATTTTTCCCGGGAATTCCCGATAATCTAATCCTTTATCTAGTTCCGGTACTGACGATGCAATTCCCGGGACTTTCGGTACTTTCGGGACTTCAATAATTTATTTTTAATAACATTTTTTTGACTAGATGCGATCATCTTTTTACGTACACACTATCAACAAATGAAAAAATATTAATAATGTTCCTAATTCATTACTATCCTTTTAAGACTGATTGTTTTATCTGATTGTACTTAGGTACTTCTTATTATTTCTTTCAACAGCGTGTTTTTTTAGGGTTCCGTAGCCAAAATGGCAAAAACGGAACCCTTATAGTTTCGTCATGTCCGTCTGTCCGTCTGTCCGTCTGTCCGTCTGTCCGTCTGTCCGTCTGTCCTGGTGACATGGTTTTTGTGTAACGTAACTGGTGACGTGCGGTCTGAGAGGCCGCTACCGTATCAAGACTGTAGCATAGAAACTAGGTAAGGTAGCATACCACAATCTTTAAAAACAGATTATTAGCATATAGAAGAATTAAATTTAAATAAAATAATAAACTCTAAATATAATTTTTAATGCAGAACTTGCTGTTAAATTATATGTAGTAATAAAAATAAAAAAACTAGAGATGAGATCGATAATCGCAAATAAGAAATTTAAATCAACAAATTATAACAAACTTAGTATTTTTTATTATAGTTCCAATGATAATCAATTTAAAAATACCTATCACACATAGGTAACCTATAATTTTAGAAAACTGGAATTGGTGAAACTTTTGTATTTTTTATTGGCTGTCAGGACATTTATTGTTTGGCATAAGAGTGGACCGTCATTTTCACTTTCTGACTGATTCTCGTCAATTGGTCCTTCATCTTCAAAAACACTTTATTCGGCTTCCGAATCATGGTCACTTTTGCTCCAGAACGATGTTTTCAGGAACATATTCGGCTTTCGACCCAATTGAGTCTTCCTTTTCCGGATATTTTTCAACTGGCGAATTTTCAAGTCGTTTCATAAAGTATTGCACTATATTCCCAACTAATGATCCTACGCTTCTTTTTTGGAGTTATTTAAGTATCAATTTCAAATAAAAACTGTAAAAATACGAAAAAACTGTATGAAAAAAATGTCACGTAACTGGTGACATGCGGTCTGAGAGACCGCTTCTGAACTTTGCATCGATGTAACTTGCCGATTTGGAGCTGAATGATGCAAATATCCTTATCTACGGCGTAGACACAACTAAACTTGAAGCTACTGAAGCGGTGAAATACAGGAAGTACGGGGAAGGGGGTGAAACGATGTTTCACCGACGCCGCCCGGCCTGTGAGACCGCTTGTCACCAGTTAAAGGTTAAAGGGGGGGCAGTAAGAGACCCAGAAAAAAAATCGGGACGTGGTGTACCTAGAGGCTTGGGAGGCGTCATCTACTAGGAGGACTCTTAGACACCGACTGAGCTCGACTCTTGACTACAAAAATGGGGGGCGCTAAAAATAATTTATTCTCAAAGTGGGCAGTAGACTAAATAAGTTTGGGAACCACTGGTATATAACATCACTCTACAGCCAATAGAGGCGGAGTAGTAAAGAAAAATGTTGCAAAATCGGGAAATATTAGCTTAACTATACTCACTGCTTATGTTCTTTCTCTTTATCCAGCAGGATCCTCAACTCCCTGAGTTCCAGAAGGAACTCTCGGTCCATTTCTGTATCGTAGTACTCTGGTCCTGTGCAACTGTATGTCCAGCTGCCCATTATAGCCTGTTGAAAAAGGAAAAAATGTATACAGGGTGGAATTTTGTAATGCCACCTGGAGGGAAAGTACTCTTAATATAGTAGATAGAAAATTTTTCTCAAAGAAAACGTTCCTTTATTTTTGAAAAGAAATAGAACTGCATTCGAAGATTTCCAAAAATTTGCTTGCCACACCCGGGAATCGAACCAACTAAAATCTGTTAAAAATTACACCCTGTATACTATACTCCGCGCAGACTCGTGGCAGGCGGTGTAATAATAAAACAGTGCATATCACATTTTGCTTTCGCACTCACACTGGTTATGGGTGACGTCACACAGAGGTAGGCATATCGTTATTTATAATAGAATTTCCTTTTTTTACGCAGAACAAAGCAAGTTTTTGACCGCAATCACTACTGATGATAAGTGAGATGCAGTCTAGGATGGTACATATCTGCCCTGTAAGTGTCCTTCTCACTCTCGCCTTGAAAAGGCTCGGATTATAATGTTCGGGAAAGACTGTGGTGTCACGTACCCAATTCTTTACACCCTGTATACAAAATATACAAATTCTAATTACTTGTGCACAATGATAGAAGTCGTTGAACGACAGATATTGCAGCTTCCTCTTGGCCGTTTCGAATCGCATGCACGCTATGAACACCACGGCACCGTATTTTCTGTAAAAAAAATGTTTTGGCCATATGATTATGACTATTATTTATTACAATCATGATCATGACTATGATTACAATCATGATTATAATTATGATCGTCGCAGAATGGCCCAATCAAGAGGCGCAGTTTCAATGAGGGCTATCGTTTTTATACTTAACAGTTGGCACCCCTGGCGATTGACAGGACCTTACTCTACAGTGGCGCCATCTTGATGAGTGCAAATGCGATAGTCCTCCTACCACTTTAGCGCTCACCAGTTGGTGCCACTGTCTTCGCTACTAGCAAGTGACAGGACCTTACTCTACAGTGGCGCTAACTGGTGAGCGCTAAAACGATAGCCCTCATTGCCCTGCTTAAAACTCATTGATGTATGCCGAGGAGAAAGGAGGGGTGTCCAGGCTTAGTTGTTACTTAAAAGTTAAGTTATCTTCAAAGACCAACATCCTTGGCTAGACCATTCTGAGGCTAGAGCCCAGAGCTAGATTAAGAAAAGTGTTAATAAAATCATACAGGGTGTTAGGTAAATGGGTATATGAGCCGACACTAGCCCATGTTAATATGGCCATATAAATGGTAATGGTGAAGTCAGAAATTTGATATAATCATTTTAATTATTTTAATTTTCATACAAATCGGATTTTATAAAATTTATTTTGTATGAAAATTAAACAAAATAAAATGATGATATCAAATTTTTGACTTTACCATACCATCTATATGACCATGTTAACATGGGCTAGTGTCGGCTCATATACCCATTTACCTAACACCCTGTATAAGTCATACATTATCCGGATCATGATTGTGATTAAGTCAGAATAAAATCATATCACACATTATGCCTATATTTTTACTCACTTAGCTAGCGGTTCTGACAATAAGAAGGTAGTCCGGATGTTTGACACCACGTTGCCGGGCATCTCTTCGACCGCCTTGAACACGCGACGCACGTTGTCAAACTGACGGCGACAACAACGCAGCGGTGCGCCAGAACGTTCTGACACCTATTTTGATTAGAATAGGAGTCAAATTTGAATGGCATCTAAGTCCGGTCGCCGAGCAGAATTTCGTCCAATGACCCCAAGCTACCCATCCTTATCGCTCGCGCGTAATCATATTGCTGTCCTGATTGTGCGATGACCGGCCGCAGTGAGTGAATTACGCGCGAACAGTAAGGATGGGTAGCTTGGGGTCATTGAACGAAATTGTATGTGCTCGGTGACCGGACTTTATTTCAATCATATCGACAGGTCATTTAAGGTTAGAACACTAATCAATTCAGAAAGGGATCAACATCGTAATTCGTATCGCCTTTCGTCGCCAGGCGAGGCGTTTACGTTACGGTGCGTATAAGTGTGCGCACTGTGCGTTGCAGTATGGAGTTTCATACAAAGAATACTTACCGCCTCAATCACTTCCTGATTATTAATTTCGTTCTTTAGTCTCCACTGCAGGAGCACGCCTCTAATTGACCAGAGGCAAGAGGATTTGTCCTACACTCCCCACGCTGGCCAGACGGGTTGGGGAGGCCTGATGCTCGCATTTGTCCCTTAGTCGCCTCTTACGACATCCACGGGAAGAGAAAACAAAACAAACATTGATATCATAAAAGGCGACTTGTAGACAAAAATCATTAAAACAAAATCCTCTTCATCATCATCATAATTTCAGCCATAGTACGTCCACTGCTGAACATAGGCCTCCCCCAATGACTTCCACATTGCACGGTTGGTAGCGGCCTGCATGCAGCGCCTTCGTACCGGAATACGCAGCGTGAGACGTCCACCCACAAGGTGGACCGACGACCTGATAAAGGAGACTAAATGACCTGATGATGATTACCAACCTCATCAAGATCCTTCCGATGCCGCGACGACAATTTTCTTCCCAACAACTCTCTGATGACTGCATCGTCCAAATCGTAATACCTAAAACAAACAATTTCTCAACTTAGTTCGATCAGGGGACAACCGCTTTAAGGACGTTTATCAACCCGGAAAGGGATCGTAGCCGTATCAACTCGAGGCGGTCAATATTCTTTGTAATAAAACTCATACTGCAACGCATACTTATCCGCAAAGTAACGCCAACGCCTCGCTTCGCGATTGACAGCGCCCGAAAGGCGATACGGTTTTGATCGCTTTCCGAGTTCATAAGTCTGCTATGACCTATAAAGGCCAGTGGCCTACTTCACGTATTTTGACAGTCAAGATCTCGCTGACGTTCAGAACTCGTCCCATTGAAAAACAGTTCTAAATCCGTATTCACAAGGGTCATTTCGATAGAACGATTACTCGATAGGATCGCAACTGAGCGATTTCTTGTCGTTGAAGTTTTGTTACGTGATTATGGCTACTGGCCTGCCCAGTAGGCCTAAGATGCGCGCCGTGATAACTTTTATCGACGTCAATTTGTATGGGCAAAATCAATAAAATGGCGTGATAACCGCCTATCACGGCGCGCATCTTAGGCCTATAGGACATGATCAGGCATTTCTCTTTACCATGTAACTTACTTTTCAATTAGCATCTGCTTTGTCTGCTCGTCAATTTGGAAGATCATCTGCTCGGATAACTTCGATGGGACTGTGAGGAGCCGCTCCAACAGGGCAAATGTGCTAAAAAACAAAAAAAGCGAAAGGTCACTGACTGACTCACTCATCATGAAATTTCCAGAAACTACAAGTGCTAGGAGTCTCAAATTTTGCATGGGGGTTCCTTTTAGAACGTAGGTGCTCACTAAGAACGGATTTGTCGAAACTCCACCCCTAAGGGGGTAAAACGGGATCCAGGGAGAATGTGAAATGTGAACTATTTCACATAATGCAATCAGTCAGAAGATAATGAACAGATTTCTTCTGTAATTATATGCAATTTGAGACTATCTTTCGATAGATTGTCAGCTTTCGCTGTCCCTGATTGGTCCACAGAATCAGTAAACTCTTAATAGTAATCACACAACCACACCAACGCGTGGACTGTCATGGGTCACGCGACCTGTCATTGGCCTATGATCGCGCCGGCGATTGCGATCTGCACACGTTGGTGTGGTCGAAGCGAAATATAATATGTGTCACTGTAAAATTGTATTGTGTCTGTTCTTTAAACTCTATAAACAATTAAACAATGAAATTACTTACAGGGTCATAAGTTGAAACTTTTAGTTAAAGATCACCACCTATGAACACTTATGAAGCAATAAATGATTATGATTACTATTTACCGGTAATGATCCAACACATCGCTGGCAATCAGTTCCACTGATGCTCCGGTCTGTTTAGCAATGTTCCTCTGATGCAACGTAGACACCGCTTCACTGGCTAAAATATTTATTTGGTTGTTCAGTTTAACACTCCTGCATGTGTAAGTTTATTTTAATTTAATTAAAATTTATTAACTGTTTTTCTTATTGGAAGTGGGTTGAAGTCCATCACATTTGAATCTAAATACAATAAAGCTGACAGAATACTATGAAAAGAGTAGGGTAAGTGAGACCTATATGTCAAAACACATATTATAAACAGTGTATAATACAAGCTATAAAACCAATATCTAGACACCCAATAACTGAAATAAAAGGCTGTAATTAATTAGTTTAAAGTACAATTAAATTTTATTTTATTGTAGTTTGTGTGATTTGAACCTAATAGAGAATATACACCAGGGCGTTAGAACACAGTTTGAGAATCCTTGCATTAAAGAATTAAAAAGTATGTTTACTTACCTACTTTTATAATGTACCTGATGTTCCTACACTATATTCATGAATATTAATATTTTACAGCTGTTTGTGATCATATATCACATTAGAAGCAAATGCTGGCATTCATAACATTCAAGAATAGCCAAAAATAGTTATCTAATATGATTTTATCTTGTGGTATAATATTACCAAGATTATGGTTATCAAATTAATGAATTACTTACAGGAACAACCGTCAATCCACAGCTGATATATCTCGGGATCAATTAGAGTATAATTACCGACAAATACGTCTACTTCTGTGTACATTTTTTGTATTTTTGCAGTTTTTAGAGTTCCAAATTCCAATACGAAAATGTTTTGATAGAAATCGGGCAGATTTATTTTGACAGCTGATCAAAAATGACCACAATTAAAAAATGTTTTTTTTTTTTTTTTTTNCCCACCTCTACTAGCAAGTGACAGGACCTTACTCTACAGTGGCGCTAACTGGTGAGCGCTAAAACGATAGCCCTCATTGATGAAAGAATAGATGAAACACGCTGGCTTTGTAAATACATGCTCATTTACTGGTGTAGTAGTAGGGCTAGCCAGGCATTTAGTCTTAATAGATCTAGAGCTGAACTCAGTCAATGCCTGAGGTATGGAAGCGGCACGGGAGGGGAGATATTGGCATATTATGACGTTACAGAGCATTTATATGCTCTTTCACGTCATAATATGCCATATACAGGGTGGAAACGATAAGTGATCTCACTCGATTATTTCTAAACTATGCAGGATATCGAAAAACTGGTTACTGATCCTGAAAGTGCTTCACGAGCTCTATCTAACGGTACCAATAATAAGTTACAAAATAAACTGCATCTATCCAAAAATTCAATGTTTCCAACTTCCATACATTTACTACTGCCACAGTCATGGCTCTCATGTTGTCTTGATTATATCATAGCAAGTAAAGCCTAGAACCAATGTTTTCCATGAATAATTTTAAATAAGAATGCAATTTACGAGTTCATTTTAAGTGTTTATTATTTAATAAAAAAATAAACACTTTTAATATTGTGGGTCTGGCATACATTTAGTATGGAGGCTGAAAACATTGAATTTTCAAATAGATCCAGTTAATTCTGTAACCTAATACTGATACCGTTAGAAAGAGCTCGTGAAACACTTGCAGGATCAGTAACCAGTTTTTCGATATCTTGTGTAGTTTAGAAATAATCGAGTGAGATCACTTATCGTTTCCACCCTGTATATGCCTGAAATAAAATAGATTTGAAGTCTCGCTAACTTTTAAAAACACCCTCTTCAGCTCCCATACCTGTGGGCTGAGTGTGAGTTTACATCAAACGTTTAAAAAATATATGAAAATTTTAGTTTTTGAACGCTTCCCGCTAGGGGCGCTGTACAATCCGTCATACATTTAATGTCATTTTTTGACGCGCACTAGTGAGCGCGTTTGATGAAAACTCACACTCAGCCCTCTGAGCACTGAATTAAGCGCTAGACTTTTACTTGAAAAATCCGATTCGCTAGTAATTTTTCAAAATCCTTAAGTCCATGGCCATAGGCCTGATAAACTATGTAAATCGTAATTGTCATTCTCCTTAAAAACAAGTGTTTATCTAGCAGCATCTATCTTAAGATTACGAAAGCAGAAAAAAGGGAGATCAACGACCGATTCAATAAAAATAAAGTCGGCGATCGCAGAAAAATGCTGTTGCAGCTCTCAAGAGACTCGTAAGCTCTATAGATTACGATGTCTTTGCTTCAAAATTAACTAAAAAGTGCAATTTTAGTCTATGCCACTCTCCCGCCAAAAGGGAACAGATAAAATAGTCGAACGTTCCGTTCCATGCACTTCAGTCCTTCGCAGATAATTAAAAACGAAAAGTCATCGAGCATCGTTCTTTTTCCGAGCACGTACCGGTCCTTGAGTCTCCTTCGCAATTAGTTCAATTTTTGAATTTCGAACGCTGTGTTGCCTGAGGGAAATATTCGATTTAGATTTTGAGTGGTGATTAGGAATTGGGGAAAGCCAAATTAATTGGTTGTTCGACACGTTGTTCCTTTAGTAATAACGGCATGTTAAGTTAAACACTGAGGCATATTTTGACTATTTGTCGTTCTAAACTTCACTTCTTCTTAGCATCAGCCTAGTCCCGAAGTAGTGGTAGAAGAAGCTATATTTGGTTGGGACGTGTATAAGCGCCCTGGAAAGGGCCTAAGTTAATTTAATTTTGTTCTTCTGATTAATTTCGTTGTGGGTCCAATGACAATTTAACTTTCCCCCGGGACAAACTTGACCTTCACTGGTTGGGTTATTGGCGGTCAAGCTGTAGATCCTGGCTACACAAGAGTTGCAGCGGTGGGAACGAGAGGTGGGAATAGTCCCGTTTAACTGTCTCTTTTCATCCTTATTGAAGTGGGCCTATATTGAAATTGACAACTTTGTAATATCATACCAGCCCATTGTGGCATTGCAATGCTTAAATTTAGAACTACACGCCGTACACATACTAATCACAATAACGGCCATTGATTGCAAATTAGTTGGCGCCTAAACGACGAACAAAATGGCGCCTAATAACCGTCGAAATTTAACAGAAATAGTTTTAAACGGGCCAGCTAGATGTGAGTGAAACAGAAATTTAAAATTTTTGGTTTTATAGTATAGGAGCGACACCGGAGCGGTGGCATTGACATATTATTATGACGTGATAAAGCATCTGAAGTCTCGATGACGTTTGACGTTTCAAAACACCCTCCCGCCCCTCCCTTACCTCAGGCACTGACTCAATTAAGGGCTACACCGCTAGTCATAAGTCATAGGACCCCCTGGATAAAGTTATTCTCAGATTTTTTCTGAAGGATAAGGCAGTGCAGTTATCAAAGTCTAATACAGCCCCAAGAATTATCAAGAAATAAGCTGATAATGGAATCAAAAGCCACCAATAAAGAATTGTTGTAAAACCAGAAATCGTAGAAAGTTAAATTACAGATCAAAATGTAAATTTAATAACGGAATCGATTTACCCAATTAGGAAAATTTCATGTCCTGAATTGCAGTCGGGCATCGAACTCATACCAATTGAGCTCGTTAACTGTACTCGGCAGGATTTGCTGCTACTTATATGGTTCAGTAGTAAGGGAATTACACTTTCTCAACTGGGACAAAACTATTCCCGAGGGAACACAAACGGATAAAAAATCACTAAAATAGGGCTACGGTTGTTAAAACATTTCAAGCTTGTATGAACATAGTTTTCCGAACAAGAAATCATTTCGATTCCACCGCTGCAACTTCTGCGTAGCCCGAATCAGCAGCTACACATCTAATAAAAATCCAAGCAGGTTAGATAGGTCAAGTTTGTCCCAATGGAATTAAATTGACGATTTAATGCAAAGTAGATGACGGGTGACAAACGGAGATATACACAGGATTACAGGCTTTATTTAAGAGTAGCAGAGATGGGAACAAGAAGTGGGAATAGTCCCTTAGATAGTTAAGAAGACACTGGATATAATATTTTATGTAGATCGTTTCATCCACGAAGACGCGCCCCACCAATTTTTGGTCGAGGGAAACGCGGGGTGCGTGGAGTTTGATCCGAGCAATCCGAGCGTCATTATTGTAGTGTGCGTGTGCACTCATGGATGATTTAGCGTGTACCGATAACCCTCAAACATTAGCAGTAGAATGATGGGGCGCGTCTTCGGGGATGAAACGATATAATGTATACAGAATGCCTTCCACTATCTGGGGGCACGGCAGTGCCCCCACCAAGTCGAGCAAAAAAGCGGCACGGCCGTACCATCCTTTTCTCGAAGCAATTCAGGCCATTTTCGACTGCCTGTAACTTCGTTGTGGATAAAACTAGAAGGCTGAATTTTCATTAGCTATGCAGGCATTGTAAAGACACGGTATATTTAAAATTTCATTCAATTTGAACCAGTAGTTTAAGAATTATAACGGGTCAAAGTTACTTAATTTTGTCACTCACTGACTCACTGACTCACTGACTCACTGACTCACTGACTCACTGACTGACTCACCGATCATCAAAATTCTAAGGCACTTCTAGCAGACCTAGAAGCTTCAAATTTGGAATATAAGTAGTGTTTGGTGTATGAATCAAGGAAAAACTAAAATATTTGGGGGCACGGTAGTGCAACCGCCAAGTCGAGTAAAATTTTTCAATTTCGGTCCAGTTTTCTAGATACATAACTGCTGTCTACAAAATACAAAAAGAAATGAGATCCCATCAAAAACAATACTTGTCAAAAAAACCAAGTCTCGCAACTCAGTTGTTCTACGGTAAAAAGTTGTGAGATCCATGTAATACCAAGTCCAGGCCAGGAAATCTTTAACGTTTTACATAAATATATTGACTTGGCCATCGCATGAAAACACGTGTAAATTAAATTATTTAGTGCGATGGCCAAGTCAATAATTTATGTAAAACGTTAAAGATTTCCTGGCCTGGACTTGGTATTACATGGATCTCACAACTTTTTACCGTAGAACAACTGAGTTGCGAGACTTGGTTTTTTTGACAAGTATTGTTTTTGATGGGTAACTAATTTACTACTTATACCATAAATTCGTAACAACTAGACTAAACCAGTGCCATCGAAGCAAGCACCACCGAACTTATGTAACGTGGTAATGCTTGCAAATCAAACGGTTAGTATAAATAGGCAATACACAAGTTATGGCCGCGACGAGCGTGATTCAAATGCTAGCGGCGGATTTGTAATATCGAGGCAGACAAAATTCGGCTTTGGAAATATCTGTACTGATATTATAAGGCACGTTTGTTTGGAGGTTTGTTTGCATAAACTGCTAGACAGGTTTTGGTGAAGCTTCAATACGCGCCATCACTGTAGTCGTTCTTCATTGCAGAAGAACGTTTTTTGATTAATGAAAGTCCTTCGTTTTCGTTATCCGTCGTAATAGCTTTTTAGCAATTTAGTAGCAATATGTAGCCTAAATTCTTCTATATCTTAGCGGATTGGGCTTGAATAAATATGTAAGTTAAGTTCCTACTATTATAATTTATTATGGATACATGAAATAAGTAGTTGTTTTCCCAAAGACCAGCTGTTTTCCATAACACAGGAACTCTAATGGGATTAATGGTTCGGATCACCTTTGCTCATATTCTCAAAGAAAATGAAATCCTTGTCTATGGCAGAGATAAATATACAATTATCCCGACGGATTAGCAAGCTGAAGTGGCAATGGGCAAGGGACATGGACGCCGATGGGGCAGCAAGGTTCTGGAGTGGATTAATATTCTGTATTGTAAAGACTTGGCAGTATGGCGAATGCCTTTGGCTTCTGCTAAAGGAAGAATCCAACCAAAAAATAACATTTC